GAGGACGGGTGAATAAAAGAAATAACAACTTGCCAGGAGCAGAACCCTCCACAAAACTAGTGCTGGACGGAAAAACCTAACCTGCAGGTGACTCAGTGTGACCAAGTCTGAGAGTTACAAATTCCAGGGGGAGCTACTCATGGTTTTGAGAGTTTGATCGACCTGTAGCTGATCCTCATAGTGAAAAATCAAAGAAAAATACTCTCATGCTTCTGGAAGAGGAGAAACGTAACCATACTGAAATACACCAAAGCATTCTATTCTTTAAAAAAAAAAAAAAAAAAAAGGCCTGCCCTCAGGAGAAACTATTTAACCAGAAGCTAATGTATTAGGTTTCATGGAGCCTCTCTGATCACGGGTGGGGGATATCCAATTCTGGGCCCCTTTATGCATTTGTCTGGCCTAAGTACGGGATATACAGATATTCTAAGAGGCATTCGTGAAATTTACATCCCAGGGGCACAAGCTCCCTAAAACAGCTAATTATAGGACTATATAATGCTGCTTCTCCTCTGACACCTCACTCCCACACCACTAAGGGCTTATTTATTTACCCAAGCGCCTTTTACCCAGTACATGAAGTTCAGCTTTCAAAACATTGCAAGGCATACCAAAAGCCAAAAAACATGGTCTAAAGACAGAGCTAGCCTCAGAACCAGACTCAAATATGACAGGGGCGTTGGAATTATCAGACCAGGAATTGAAACAACCATGATTAATATGCGAAGGGCTCTAATGGAAAACGTAACATGCAAGAACAGATGGGTTATGTAAGCAAAGAGATGGAAATTCTAAGAAAGAACCAAAAAGAAATACTAGATATCAAAAACACTCTTAACAGAAATGAAGAATGCCTTTGATGAGCTCATTAGCAGATTGAACACAGCTGAGGAAAGAGACTCTGAGCTTGAGGATTTAATAGAAGCCTCCAAAACCAAAAGCAAAGAGAAAAAGGACCCAAAAAATTAATAAATATAACAGAATATCCAGGGACTGTGGGACAGCTGCAAAAGGTGTAACTAGGTGTAATGAGGACATCAGAGGGGAAGAAAGAGAGAAACAAAAAATATTTGAAGCAATAATGACTGGGAATTTTCCAAAAATTCATAAAAGATGCCAAATCCCAGGTTTAGGAAGCTCACAGAACACAAGCAGAATACAGAACCAATAAACAAACAAACAAACAACACACACAGGCATACATCATATTCAAACTACAGGAAATCAAAGGTAAAAAAAAAAAAAAAATCCTGAAAGAAGCCAGAGGCAAAAAACACCTAACCTATAAGGAGCCAAGATAAGAAGTACATCTAACTTCTCCTTAGAAACATGAGCAAAAAGAGAGAGGACTCAAATATTTAGAGTTAAGAGACGAAAAAAATTAAACAAACAAATACCAGCCTAGAATTCTGTACCCTATAAAATGATCTTTAAAAAGTGAAGGAGAGGGGCGCCTGGGTGGCTCAGTTGGTTAAGCGTCCAACTTTTTTTTTTTTTAAATGTTTTATTTATTTCTAGGAGAGAGAGAGAGAGAGAGAGAGAGAGAGAGCGTGAGCAGGGGAGGGTCAGAGAGAGATGGATTCACAGTCTGAAACAGGCTCCAGGCTCTGAGCTGGCAGTCAGCACAGATCCCGACGCGGGGCTCGAACCCACGAACCGCGAGATCATGACCTAAGTGAAAGTCGGACGCTTAACCGACTAAGCCACCCAGGCGCCCCAAGCGTCCAACTCTTGATCTCAGCTCAGGTCATGATCTCACAGTTCATGAGATCCAGCCCTGCTTCAGGCTCTGCTCTGATAGCCCAGAGTCTGCTTGGGATTCTCTCTCTCCCCCTCTCCCTCTGCCCCTCCCCAGCTCACACACGTGCTCTCTCTATATATAAATAAGTAAATAAACTTTTTTTTAAAAAGTAAGGGAGAAATAATGATTTTCTCTGACAAAAATTTAGGAATTTGTTGCCAGTGGAACAGCCTTAACAAATTTAAAACAACAGAAATTATACAATGTCTGCTCTCAGATCACAGTGGATTTAAAAACTAGAAAGCAATAATAGAAAGATAGCTGTGAAACCCCAAAATATTCAGAGATTAAACAACACATTTCTAAATAACACATGAGATCAAAAAAGAAATCTCAAGAGAAATTTCAAAATATTTTAAACTGAGCACAGTTTAAAATGAACACAGAACTTATTGTGGGATGCAGTGAAAGTAGTGCTAAACGGAAGATATACAGCATTGAATGAATAAATGAGAAGAGAAGAAAGATCCCAAAAATCAGTAATCTAAGTTTCTATCTTAGGAAACTAAAAAAAAAAAAAAAAAAAAGAGAGGACTGAATTAAACCCTAAGTAAGTAGGAGAAAAGAAATAATAAATATTAGAGCAGAAATCAGTGAAATTGGAAACAGAATACCATTTGAAAAAATCAACAAAATCCAAATCTGGTTCTTAGTAAAGATCAGTACAATCCATGAGCCTCTAGCCAAACTAACTAAAATTGACTAGTCCCTGGGATGGGACCCAGATGTCCGCCTCATACTGTCAATCAATGAGCAACTACTACTGCCACACAGGTAAACAAAAATACTCCATCATTTCCTTTCAGTCATCCATTCAATCAATTAAAAAAAAGAAAACAACAACAACACTAATGATGAGCTATCTACTATGTGCCAGGCACTGTTTTAAGTGCTTGAGATGTAATGAATAACAAACAGAATAAATGAATAGGCTATATAGTACATTAGAAGGTACTAAATGGATAAAAAGAGCAGGAGAGAATTAGGAGTTAAGAGTATTTTTATTCTCATATGAATATCTGTGTGTGTGTATATATATACACATATATATATTACATACATACACATATATATATTAAGCAAATACTTTATTTTCTTCCCTCTCTGGCCCCCTATCAACAAAAATAAGATGTATTAATACTAGTTTACATCTGAGTATTTAAGTGACAGAGTATCAAGGGGAAGAGTGAACATCACCCAAGGATTTTGTGTCCTCTTCAGTAAAAAGAGCTGGCATGTTTTTGGTTATATGCTGGATAACTGGAGCATGTTAAATGGAAGTATTACTTTGTTACTGTCTTTATTTGGAGATTAAGTATGGTTTAAATAAATGTGTATGACAAGCTGACAAGGTGTGAACTGTAACGGTTAGTTTTATGTGTCAACTTGGCTAGCCCATGGTACCTGGTTATTTAATCAAACGCTAATCTAAGCATTCCAGTGAAGGAATTTTGTAGATGTGATATCTACAATCAGCTGACTTTCAGGAAAGCAGATTATACCCTATAATCTGGGTGGGCCCTGCCTAATCAGTTGAAAGGCCTTAAGAGCAGAACTGAGGGAGATGAAATTCCATCTGTGGACTGTGGCATGAGATCCAAGAGTTTTTTTCCAATTGGCCAAGCTGCCTTACAAATTTTAGACCTGCCTAGCCAATCCCCCCAATCACATAAACCAATTCCTTGCTATAAATCTCTTAATATATAAATATCCTAATGGTTCTGTTTCTCTGGTAGACCCCTGACTGATTCAGGTAGCCACCCAGAAAAAATGACATTTGAGCAAAGACTTGGAGTTGGTGAAGGAAATGCCCTGCAGATATCTGTGACAAGAGCGGGCCCAGTGTGTGCGAGGAACGGCAAGCAGTGGGGCTGAGTAAGTGTGAGCAAAGCAGAGAGCAGCCCTAAAGGAGGTGGCTTTATTAACCAAAAGCAGCAGCAGGGATAGGGAAAGTGCAGGCTGTGAGATCACAGGTCTCCTTGATTATCCTATCTCATACTGAGCCCACATCATGACCAAAAGCTACACTTCTAAATGCCTCTCCTTCTCTGACATATGACACAGATGAGTCCTCCCCGGTCCCACTACTGGCCAAAGCTTTGGGATGCCGCAGGATCTTCTGTAGTTCACGCATCTGACATTCAGGGCACTTGTACATAGCACTCCCATGAACCACACCACTCCGTCAGTTTCTGTCTTGGGAGTCCGGGCGCCAGGAGTCAGGCCAGAAAGGGCCCTGGAGTTTGAGCAAGAGTCAAGAACTGAGTGGCCACCACCAGGCAGAGAGACAGCGTACACAGTCATCTCTGGATAAAATGGAAGTTTGCTACGTGCGAGGTATAACACGCTTACCAGGTCCGCCCAGGCTGAGTGGAAAGAATAAGGACAAACACCATCGAAGGCAGACAATAAGTGATTTGGATGCAGAAACACCAAAAACAGAGATCAGTGATTTGGGTGCATTAAGCCACCTTGCCCAGGCATCCCAGCCTCTCATTTGTCCCAGTAAAAGGGCGAATACAACCTGTCACAGGTTTTCCTTACTACAGAGGTTACCAGAACAACAATAACTTTAAGTACATGTATTAACCTGGAAAGATGTTCGTGATTATGGAAGGGGAAGAAAAGGTAACACAACCATATCAAGTATACACATCCAGTCTTAGACACATCTGAACTTCATAAATATTAACATGAAAAAAATGTATTTATTAGGCTTTAGGAAAGATGATATATGCAAAGAAAAGAGTTAAAGAACGCATATAAAATTATAACAAAGCCATCTGGTTAGTGGGATTACAGGTTTTTTTTTCTTTTTGCTTCCTGTACCTTTTTGTTCCCCTGTAATAATATGTATTGCTTGAATAACAAAATTGTTTATGGTTTAGAAGTAAAAACCCCTTCATGTCTGTAGCACTTCTAGCTCCTTCTCTACTCCCTCAAAAAAGTGAGTTGACATCTGTAACCTCAGTAAGTTAGAAAAGAGCTGTTTGCAGCCCCTTTTACATATGAGAAAATACAAAGCTCAAAGGAGTTAGGTCACTTTCACAGTCACTCATCATGGTGTGTAGCCCAGCCAAGACAGGAGTGTGAGGGTCCTGAAGGTCCCTTCCAAACCACACACTTGCTTTGTAGCATTTTCTCAGCCCAGGGACCCCAGGGAAGTGTGGTTTAAGATGAGCTGGCCCCTTGCCCTTACCTCAGCCAGGCGGGAATGCTTGTGGACGTTCTCGCCTTTCTGCACGCTGGGAGCCAGCTGCTGCAGGACCCCCCTGCTGCTCGTCAGGGCTCTGGTCAGCCGAGCAAACTTCCCCCAGCCTGGAGCATGTGGAGGAGAGAAAGGACAGTTTCAATCACGTCCTGAAGGTCACGGACATTCACACCACAAGTTCGGCTGTCGGAAGCACATACACCCTCTGTCCTCCTAGGCTCCCAAGAGTCATTCTGCGTTCCTCCCAGCCCAGACTCACTGTTCAGAAAAGCACCTAGACAAATTGTGTAGCAATTTATGCTTCCCCTGAACTTTCACTCTATCCTAATCATAGCTCTGTGATGTAGGTAGGATGGGTTTTAGTGCTGTTTTACAAATAGGGAAACTGAGGCACAGAGTGCTTAGATGACTACAGAGTCCAGAGCCCAGATGTTTTCACTTTTCTGCCAGATAATACCAGGCAATCGAGATATTTCTTGGACTTTGACTTGGCTCAGGCTGCTTCCAACCCCACAGAGTCTGATCTAGTAGAGATCAAGTTGGTTCCAAGTATTATGTGGACAAGCCAGTTAAATGGCTAACCCATGCAATAGAGTCTCCAGTCAGGAGAATGAGAAATGAATCTAATCCCTGGGGAGGGGGGAGTGGAGCACAGGCATATTTTAGTCTGCTCTGGAATGGGGGAAGGACAGTTGCTGACAGGTTCCCCCAAATAACAAGAATCCCAAAATTGCCTAGTACTGAACTTGGAGCAAAGAAATCTGGACACGAGTCCCATCTCTACCTCCAGCTTGCTTTGTGATCACCAACCAGTCATTTAAGCTGCTTAGGCCTTATCTGTAAAGTGGAAATTAAAATATTCTAACTGCCCAAAGGCAGGGTGCACTTGCCTGGTAAAACAAAGGGGCTAAGTTTAGTGGACTCTGGTTAGTGGACTAAAACAGAGGCTGTCTGGAGGCCTCCTTGGCACTCTGGACCAGTTCCTCCAGGAAAACTAAAATACTGGTCTTTTTTCCAATCCAGCCTCCTCCATGCCACAGAGTCTAAGACATATGAGTGATCTTTACTGCATTTAAAGGTCTCCAAAGACAACTGTCCATCCTAATACTCAACAACCCAACTCATCTGCATCAAGGTTATGACCATGGCCATTGCCTCATGAGACCCATGAAAGCCTGTCAAGGTTCTTAAGACCACGCTTGGAGTTGAGGGGCTCCAAAGACCTAGACGTGGAGCAGACAGCAAGTAAACAGAGTATCCAACTCTTTTTACATAGCAGCTAAAAACAGGACCAGGTGATTTTTTTGTTTTGTTTTTATCCCTTAGCATTTAGCAGTATCCAACACCTTGCAGCAGACGTCGGTTCTGCCAAATTCTACCCTGGAGCACCTTTCCAAGAAAGACTTGGAATCCAGAGGAATGAAGTTAAGTAGCAGAATGGCCCTTTTTTTTTTTTTTTTTCACAACCTTTAAGAATCATGATCTGGATAAATTTTTGTCAACATGGCAAGAATAGCAAATCAGTGCTTTATTATCTTATTCCAGACGTTCTAGGCTTTAATAAAAGACAGTGGCATTTTCATCCATCCAGATGCCATTAAGCCGAGAAACAGGACTGTTGGAGTCAGCTTGAAAAGAGACACATGGTGGTCAGGCGGTGGAGGTCCCACTAATGTTAACAGGAGAAGACGGTCCAGACTCTGCAGGGGTTTGACATCTTCCCCAAATGTACCATTTATGAAGCTGCTCACTGGAATATGCTTTTATGAACTGTGAACCAAAATTTTTTAAAGTCTCTTTCAGCTCCAAACAAAACTAGAATTGAAGTCTACAAAGCTTTTCAAGAACACAAAGTGTATTTTCCAATCAGGTAATACACAGTGTGCATAAAGACATCAATAAGGGCTCTGCAAGCCACCCCCACCCCAACCTAACCCACAACCCACACTTCCACTACCATTACTATGACCACCACCATGACCCATACTCTGGGACCAATGATAAGAAGGAGATGGCAAGGCAGGTACCCCAGACCCTGCCTGGCAGGGAGCTCAGGGTCCTGGTCCATGAGCTGATCTAGCATAAGGGATGAAAAGAAAGATACCTGGACCTCTGGGCATTTCTCCAGGCTCAGGCTAGCCCCGAAATCTTTCTAAGGATGTGACTCTTAAAGGAGCTGGCTCTCAGCTGCCTCAGTGGATGGCATGGGAAGATGAGTGGGTGTGGGGAAACAGACAGCCAGTGTGAAATTCTCCATCACATCTCTACCAGAATGGCCAGGCTCTGCCTGTTCTGATGGAAGGAAATCAGAGTTCTGATTGAGTTCTCAAGGAAATCTTGAGTTCTCCCTCAAGTTCCACCCCATGTTCTCCTTTCTGAACTACAGATACTTTCTAATGGGAATCATTGCCTGGCCAGATGAAAAACTTCACTCATTCATGTATTACTTCTATAAACATAATTGCTATATATCAGGCATAGTGCTAGGTACTGGAGAGACAAAGATAAATAAGATACAGACTCTGGCTTCAAAGAGCATGCCCCCTAGTAGAGAATACTGACAAAAATATTTTAAAAGCCATGACATAATGAGGTAAGTTCTGTAAATATAAATGAGTATAGGATGCTATGGTCAAGACTGTCCAGAGAAGGCATATCTAATCCAGGCTTAGGAGGCTTCCCAGAAGGGGTAACACTGGGGCAAATTTTTGAAAAATGAGTAGGAGTTAAAAACACAAGAAGGAAAAGAGAGATACTGCACACAAAAGGAACAGCACCTACAAAAGTGAAAATCATAAAACAAAGTAACATGTCAGTGAAGAGTAAGACATCCCAAATGGCTGGATGAATGAGGCATGTCTGGTAGAAAGGAAGAGGGTGTAGATGGTAGCCTGAAGTGATGTTAAAGTGGTTGTCAGGGCCCAGATGGAGAAGAACTTTGGTGGTAACAACTTAAATAGCAAGCTGAGAAATCTGAACTTCATCCTGAAACCCATGGGAAACCAGGGAGGAGTTTAAATATGGTGGAGAGGAGGAAATACTCTGATTTCACTTTAGAAAGACAGAATGGTGGGCGCCTGGGTGGCTCAGCCAGTTGAGCATCTGACTTTGGCTCAGGTCATGATTTCACAGTTCGTAGGTTTGACACCCACATCGGGGGCAGCACTGACAATGCAGAGCCTGCTTCAGATTCTCTCTCTCCCTCTCTCTCTCTGCCTCTACTCTGCTCGCTCTCACTCTTGCTCTCTCTTGCGCGCTCGCTCGCTCTCTCTCTCTCTCTCTCTCTCTCTCTCTCAGGGGGAGGAGGAGAAAGACAGAATGGTAATGGAATGGTAGACTTTAAAAAACAAGGTTGATAGGGCACCTGGGTGGCTAAGTTGGTTAACCACCTAACTTTGGCTCATGTCATGGTCTCATGGTTCATGAATTAGAGCCCCATGTCAGGCTTTGTGCTGACAGCTCAGAGCTCTCTCTTGCTCTCTCACTCCCTCTCTCTTTATCTCTCCCTCTCTCTAAAAAATAAATTAAAACATTAAGAAAAATTTTTTAAAACAAGGTTGATAGATAAAAGACGAGTCAGGACCCTGTGCTCCTGGACAATACTGTGGCCCAGGCCAGCCAACAAAGGGAGCTTGAGAACAACTACAGAGGTAGGATCAACAGCTGCAGAAGGAGAGAAGAGGCAACCCAGGCAGCCTCTAGGTTCCTGGTTTGGGTGACTGGGTGAAAGCCATGCAATGAGATTAAAAACACTTAACAGAAGCAAATGGATTTTATGGAAGATACCGTGTACAATTTGGACCAAAGTCATCAGGAGAAACGTTCCTGGAAACAACGAAGCTCCTGTTGTCCAAAAGGCCAAATGACAGGGGACACCCCAATGAGAACCTAGCGTAAGACAATCTTCCTTGGGGTAAGCCCGATGGTCATTTTCCATGAGGCAACTAAGGCAGCTCCTACTTCAAGAGAACCTTTCTGGGATCTTGCCCTACCGCCAGCAGAATGGCCCATTCCCTCCTTTGTACACTCCCCTCTGCCTTATGTGGACGTCTAGCTCTTCAACACATACACTTACCAGGTCTTTGGGGTGAGAGGGGTAGACAGGAAGGGAAGAAGAGGCATGAAAGGAAAAGAAGGCTAGAAGGAAGGGAACACAACATGCAACCCAACAGTCAGATAAAAAGCACTTACTAGGTCCTTTCTCCATTCTTAGTAAGAACTATTTCTCCCTTCCTTGACCACACAATGGCTACTGGTTTCAACTGGGGTGAGCCTCCCACCAGGCTTCTTTAGCGCACAAAGCCCTGTGTTTCCCTAGGCCAGAAGAAGAGATGACTCTGGAATGAGATGAAATTCCAGCTCATCCAAGGATAAGTCCAGGGATATGAGAAAAGGGAGACATATAGGTGCCTCCCCTGGGATATCACGCCAAGTCACTCTGAGTAGAGGTTGTAGAGGACTGCTGTAAGGTGCCCTGACCTCCATGGGGAGGCTGCGAGGCCAGGCTTGCCCTAATCTGCAGTCACAGATTCTCTTAGAGGAGTTGATGTCCTAACCCAACATATCCAAGAACACAGAGGACACTAAGGACCAAGATGGAGAGCTGGTGTGGACACTGCCCAAGCACCCTTCAGTCTTCCTCCCCTGGTCTTTTCCCTATCACTGTAGAAAGAACAAAAAAATCTAGGGTGCCTTCTTCAAGGACCAGCCACTAAATTACCACCTTTCCATCAAGGGAAGAGGGACAAAACTTTCATATTGAAAGGTACCTGTGGGTACCTGTGTCTTGTATCCACTGCCCAGTTACTTTCCCAAGAGTGCCTCACGAATATCAAACAGGAAGACATATGGACAAGAGTCAGCTTGCCAGAGCCCTCATCCCTGAATATTCTCAATCTTTGGCCTTTGAAAATCTCCTCTGGAGTTTTACATTCCTTTAGTTTATCTGAATCTGGCTCAAGTTTAACTATGTAGCACTAAATACATTGGTCTCTGAAAATGAATTCACTCCTTCAATGTGAGAATATTTGGTGGAGTAAGAGACAGAAAATGAGGGGTAATTCATCCCCATCCTTTGGGGAGCAATGCAGAGAGCAAACTCTGAGCCTTACCGTCTAATTCTTCTCTACCCATTTGCCCAAGCCTCCTAGCTCAGAAGCGAGAATGGGACAGAAAAAAAATATCCTACAGCCCTACTACCAATTATCCATGATAACAGAAAAATGAGAGATTCAATTCTCATTTCAGGCAAGAATTCCCATCTACTCTGTCATTCTGACTTAACACACACACACACACACACACACACACACACACACACACACATACACCAGAGCTGCTACCAAACAGCAAACCTAGCTCAACTTGCATTTCCTGTCCAAAGGAAAGTCCTATGGACACCTTTTGTCAGAGAGTAAGGGAAATAGTCAAAAGATGAACAAAAAAGAGATAAGGAAGTCAGAGGCCTGGATCATTCATAAAAAGGAGCTTGAGAACTGATATACTAAAGGAAAGAGGGGTCGGGGGTGGCCCAATCACTTACCAAAGGGGAGTTACATTATGTCAGATGCTAAAATAGTCCACTGCGGATTACCCCATGTGTTTACCACCTTGTGGGTTGTTTCTGGAAAAATGTTAGGCACAAGTGGCTTTCTTGTGTCACTACTGGATGCACTTGCCCCACTCCCAAGCCCCAAAGTTGGGCAGGACATGGTCAGAGAAAATAAAGTCATTTTAAAGACAATTTGAGCACAGTTGACTAAAGAGAAGACTAGTCTGCTGTTGGGAAACATCTTGTGCTGCTATGCCAAAGAGCAATTATCTGGGGATTTCTGGATTTTGGGATGATCCGCCCTTCCATTCCAACTCAAAAGTGAATTCTAAACAAGCCTGGGTCAGCAAGACTTCTGACACTCTTCATGCTGACTGAGGTGCTGTGCTGAAAGCCCAGCTGGACCTGCCAGAACCTCCCAATGTGAGAGCACCTCCAAGAAGAAACGTCAAGTCAGGAGAACAATCCAGCCACATGGCAACATGTTTTCCTAGATTGGATCCTTGCTGCCAGAACTGCAGTTTATAGACTCACAATTAACAAGGCCTGGAGAACTAGCGTGCTCTTCTGTTGTAAATGGACTAATATAAAATTTGACCTTGTCCCAAGTAGATACCAAATCAAAGTCGGCAAGGGGCACATTGACATCAATGTGGGAGGGTCTAAACATACCCGTCGTGGCATTTAAAATGGACAGGCAGATAAAGTCAATTCCTGGAGGAAACATTAAGCATGATCCACTAGCAGCATTCCTACAAGGAGCACTGAAGCGTGTGTGCACATGCACATACCAAAACTCTCATCAGCAAGGAAATGCATCACTGAGGCAGGTTAAATGAAGTAGAGCATTTTTTATTCCTGGAAAATAAACCTACGTGAGTCTCACCACGCCACTGTTTTTAGCTCTTCTTTCACGCTTCATAAGAACCAAATGCAGACACCTAGGTGGCACATTCTCCATTGGGTATGTCTTCCTACTAAACAATCACCCAAAAATGTTCCAGTGGTGGTGAAACACAAGCATGCTGACTCAACCAAATCATGTTACTTTAAATTTTTAAGAGAAAACTTGCAAAACCAAATGTCAAAATATCTGACTGCCTTTAAAATAGGATCTATGAGTTTTTTCAGTTAAAAAGAAGCCAATGGCCTTTCTGGATGACAGCCAGGTAACCCTTAATCATGAATGAGTCTATCACCATGTAACCCCTATTGCACTGAGGAACCCTCAACTCAGAAACTAGAAATCAGGTAATCACAGACCTTCAGGAGAAAAAGAGAAACTTGACATCTGCGGTCGTCTTAAAATCAAAAGGCAGGCTGATATTGATTTAATGGGTTATCAGATATTTTTTAAAAATAGGATGCACTGGTCTACATAGTGTTGTGCTCTGAACTTTATAAACATGAGCATCCACATGTGCTAGAGGACACAGCACCCACATAATGCTTTTTCTTTCCTCCTCTAAGGCACATTTTAACAATCACAATTTTGTCACATCAGAAATAATACTCCCCAGTTTCACTCTTCCCTGGGCTCCTCTCGCATCTCTCTGCTGCATTTTGGGAAACTTCAAGGGACAGAGTTCTCAGAGAGAGATGGAAAATCAACCACAGAGCCAAGAAGGACTGCAACAAACAAGAGCTAATGGCCTCTTGGCTGTCTCGCGTGCGTGCTACGAAAGGGGTGGGGGGGAGAGAGGGCCGTGACACCCCTTAATCCCAAACCTCTGGGAATCACATGCCATCTTCCATACATCTGATTAGCAGGACCTCTTCAACAGTACAGCTGTTCCAGAAATCCTGAGCCATGTCCTTCCTTGGCCCTCAGTGTTACTCAAATGATACATGCGTGGGATATGGCTGAAGTGAGCGCTAAAATCTGTGGTCACAAGCTGAGCAAACGACCCATGTGGAAAGGCTACTCAAAACCCTGGCCTCATCAATACCATGTTTCCAATGAGTTCACCAGCCACAGACTTAGCTCCATCAACCACAGAGGTAGAGATGTCAATCAAATCTAACAAAGTTTATATACAAGTAAGATGAATGTGGCCATGGACTGCCTCATTTGCATGACTGACATCTGTCCTGCCAACACCTAAAAAGGACTCTGCTGAAACCAAAGGTGCCCAACTACCTTCTTCTGTCTAAACTTTACTAGAAAGGGTTAAGCTAAAAAGGTATAAAATTGGTTCAAATGCTTTCCTAAACAAAGTTTTTTTCCCCTCCCCCTTCTCCCTCTTAATACATTCCAGAATGATACAGTGCTTTACCCAACACAGATTCAAGTTTAAATCTTGATCTTTGTGAAGAAATTGCCTTGGCAACCTCAAATTCTCTTTAATGGGAGTCACACCACAGTGGGGGCGGGGGGGGGAGGCATAAATGTTTTGTACAAATCAGAATTACAAACCTTTACATGAATCATCCTCAATGGGCTGTTTGAAAGCTGTTATGTCACTGAAAGTGCAAAGAAATAAAACCACTTTATCCTGTTCATTTCGAATTGGAGCAATTTTCACAAAGAACCACACAGGTGTCCCTGAAAGAAATATCAAAAGGTTGGTCAGTAATTTTCATTTTCATGTGAGGGGCTATGGAATAAAGACTGGGGAATGAATAGGTACACATATTAATTCATTTTTGAATGGCCTCATTCCTTTAGGTGCTGGGATATCATACTATTAATTCCTTTTCTTGCTGGAATAAAAAACTTTCATGATGACTATTCGGCAGGGATTTTCTTCAAGTAATTTTGTAAGTGTAGATCTCTTAACCCTTGCCAAATGATTAGAAAATGAGTCAAGAACCTCCTGATCTTATGGAAAGAACTAAGGTACAGAAACCTACATGCTTGCTTTAGACCATGCAGTGGACAAGTAAACAGTAGGGAGCAGGATGGACATTGCCAACCACAGACAGCAGACCATGGAAACTCAAATTTCCATTGCAAAGGGGTCCTACTGACAAAATCCAGTTTGGGAATCCATCAGTTTGACTCACATGCTCAATCAACCATGGGCCAAAAGCTATATTTCTAAGTCTCTCTCCCCAAAATAAAGATTGCAAAGGTCCCATACAATGAGGCAGATGACAACACACTGAAGAAGGAAGAGAACTACCCACAGTGATTCTCCCAGCATAGACTCCCCCATAAAGGGACGTTTCTAGTTGGCTTCAGGCTGTGATTACATTAGTGCGTTAGGAAGCTCAACCACTGTGTTTCAACTTCCAATCCTTATTCCTGAGCAAAAATGGGGGATTAATGAACTCTTCCAAAGCACTGCCCTAATCCACCCAAGGAGAAGGTGAGTGGGGCTCATCTGACTAACTTCTCAGAGAGGGCATCCACTCAGGTATCTATGGCTAAATATATCTGCACTAAGTCCGTCTCTGGCTTCCAAAAAAGAGTTAGGGAACCTATGGAGGACATCACAGCAAGCCACACCAATCAACTCTGTGACACAAAACTTAAATGAGAAACAAAGAAATGGTAGGTTCTTCCCTACCTAGTTCTCGTATCCCAGTTCCTTAAACAGCATCTGGGAAATAAGAACTTAATAACTACTGGCTGAATTCTGTATAACTGGGACAATACTTTACATGCTATTTTATAACCATTTACAAGTTAAAATACATAATAAATGTCTGATTGACATTTGCTTTGCAAATATGACTATACCACTTATTCACATGGAAGTATAAATAACCATAAAATATACAAATAGGCAGCAATTAGATCATATAGGAATATATTCTCTTTAAAGCTTGATTATCCATGTAATCATTCATAGTTAATTTTAATCTTCTGTCCATTTTCCCTTTCCATAATTTTCAGCTGCCTGTTTCTGGGTGCTCATAGAAGAGATTATAAAGAAAAAGATGTTTCGAAAGAAAAATCCACCATACAAAAATCACAGATAGCAATCCAAAACCAGGAAGAATATGGCCTTTGTAACCCCGACTGTTTTTGAAAGGTCTGTTACGATCCCCCATCCCCCAGTCCCCTGCTCATAACCTGTGGGCTTTAAATGATTTTCAATTAAGCAACAGAAAACTCAGAATAAAGTGTCAAATCAAGTGAACCTATATACCCACAGCTCTCCATTATATCCTAGCTGGTAAGACAAAAAGCAAACAAATCAAAAAACCATTTTCTTTCTGCTCTATAAAAAAAAAAAAACAAACAACTAAAGCAAGTTTTTTCAGACGATAAACCAGAAGACACTGCGAATTTACCAAACCAGTAAAGAATCAGATTACAGCCCCCCCCCCACCCACTCATGAGGTCTAGCTCCAGGAGCCTCATCTTGCTGAATTCCCTGGAACCGTGACCTTCCCAGCCGCCACCTATGGGCCCCTACTGCACTGTGTCAGCTGGCCCAGTGCCTGTGAACTTCTCCACTTGGGACTGTGCCACCTAATCTTTATTTTCCATTTATGACTCCCAGGACTGATGACGTTAACCCACATCTCCCAGATCATGAGAGCCCCACTGTAGTAGTCATGTTGGGAGGCCTTTTTCATCTTGCTAGAGTTCAAGCTCATTTTAGACTCTCCCTATTTCTGTAGGTCAATCTGTTTAAAGCTATGTGCTTCTTTCCACCAAATCGTGCCCAATGCTTCCTCCAGAAGTGTTCCCTGAGTAAACACATACTATCCTGATCACTTCTTTTCAGTAAACAAATAAGAATCTTATACCAAAAATTCACATAGTCAGTACACTGTCTTAGAGTTCATCTCAAGCTGATCAGTTGGGCTTGTTGAGGGAGAAAACCTCCTATTCCCTGATCCGGTGTTTCCTCATGGACAGAGATCTTTCAAAGGAACCCTCAGGTCTTTTCCATGGGTCAGTAATTTGGGGGTCAAGAATTGGATATGTATAGCTCAACCACTTCTCATCTGTGTTTTTAGAGATGAATCTGCATTCTGCTCTGTGTCCTCATTCTATAGATCTTAGGGGAGAAGTCAAAAGGGCAGGGGACAACTGGTAGAAGCCTGCAGTTCTCCAGTGCTACCTGTGTTGGGTAGGTAAGTCTGATTCTAGAATTCACTGTAAGAAATTTTACTTGCACATAGACATAAACTACATTCTCTAGGATTAGCTTTACTGGTGATAAAAGTGATATTTTAACCTCCATTTGTCTGATTCCTGATATCTCTCTTGATTGGTTCTGATCACAGGCAAGGAAAGAAAGTGCTCCAGGTTGGCCCAAACTTTAACAGTTGAGGACTCTTCCCTTATTTTGACCATAATCCACTCTGGGGCAGAATATCTGAAATACTATCTCTCTCTCATCACCCTGTACCCCTATTTAAACGGCATCTAGTGCAATGTTTTCATAGGATCACATTAGGCCATTACATGGCTCAACTCCAGAAGGCGCCATTCTGGAGTTGTGAAACCCAATCACCTCGGCAGGGCAGGGACTCTAGGAATGACAGCTGAGTTTCAAAGCAATAAATCCTACTTCCAGTGTCTCCACGGTCACTCAGACCTGCCTCTCTCCCAAATCATCATTCCCTACAAAATCTAGGAAAGCAAGCAGAATGGGCTTAAATTTTTATTTCTGAAATTCTTTCAAAAGAGAACATGAGTCCCACCTAGGTGGCACAGAACAGTAATTCCAACCTTTTAATATTAAGAGCAAAGCATTTTTAACCAGTGAAGCATTACTCAAAGTCTCAATATAGGAAACAGCTGCTTCAAGTGAACATAGGCTGTCCAGAGGCTGGAGGCCCACTCAGTTTCTCTTCCATCCCTCTGGATGCCCCCAAGGACATTCAGGAGCTGCCCAGAAGCAGAGACCAGGGCATGTGGCCTCCAGGGACTTCTAGAGCCCAGACTAGAGTAGGATTCATTCCACCAAGATAAAGAGAAGCAATGCATGCACAAATATTCACACATACAGACACAAAATCAGGAAGATGAGGTTAATCAGGAAAATTCTGCCTCTGCACTCAAATGGCTATGGTGGGAAAATCAAGAAAAGCAAGTATTTGATGTCCTATTTCTGTAAAAAGGACAAAGGGTGAATAATAAATAAAGGAAGATCAATGCACGAATCCAGGAAAAACACAGCAAAGGCTGATGGAAAAGATAGCAGGTCTTTCCTGGCTGAAAGTGTCAGTGGCGGGGGGGGGGGGGGGGGGGGGGGGGGGGGGGGGGGGGGGGGGGGCAGGCCCGGGTCAGGCTCCTCCTCCTCCTGGTCACTCTGTGATTCTTATCCTCTAATAGCTCCCTTGGGTCATGGAGTAATGAACCTGACAACTTGACTTGGCTATGGGGTTTCTCAGCCCCAGCAGTCAGATAGCAAAACAGCAAGGCTCAGATGTACAAGAGATTTTTTGGCCTCCGTCAGGTTTCCTCCTACCCTGCCCCTCCTCCTAGGTACTCCCTGTAACCTGGCAGCCAGGCCATATGTGACAGCAACAGAACTGACCAAGCCACTATCACTGGCTCATGGGAATAGCTGCATGGGCCATTGAGATAGACCCAGCAGACCATGGTGGCTGCCCCAGGAAACAGACCAACTGGTCTCAGGTCACCTTCACTGAGACAAACAACAAATATGAAGAGAGTATGAAGGAGCACAGGGGGAAGCAGTAGCCACTGGCCACTAGAACATCTGATTGGGATTCCCAAGCCTGGGGGTTGAGCCCTATCTCTTAGTTTATCGCACGCCTTGTCCATGTCCCCTTAACCTCTTTGAATCAGTTTCCTCATTTGCAAAATAGGGATAACAGACTAACTTTAGATTCAGTAAAACTATACACATGTCTGATACACTCCTCTCTTCCTTTTAAATCCCTCGCCTGTAAGGCTGAAATGTTTGAGCTCACCTCACAGAGGTATCTGATGACTTAAAAGAGATTGTATCTCATGGTGTTTAATGAAACTGAAAGCTGCCTCTACCTGTTCTAAGAAAGAAGGCCAGTCTCAAACATGAGGGAAAAGCTAGAAAAATCAATGCTTAAGCCTCAACATAATTCAAATTTGATTGAAGAGCAAACCACAAAACCTAAATAAATGGAGACGGTTACACTGTTTGTAGATGAGAAGATTCAATTTTGTAAGATGTCAAACCTCCCTGTTTAATATATAAATTTAATGCAATTTCAATCAGAATCTCAGTTGTTCTTTTTTTTGTTTGTTTTTCACAAAGTTTGATGAATTGAAATTCAACTCAAGTAGGAAAATAAAGTAGAAGAAGGGCCAAGAAATCTTTGAAATTTTTTGAGAGAAAAATAGTGACAAGGACTATATACCACAGCTGACCCTTGAACAAAATAGGTTTCAGTTGCACACATCAATTTATACCCCTTTTTCTATAAATACAGTACTGTAAATGTATTTTCTCTTCCTTATGATTTTCTTTGTAACATTCTTTTCTCTAGCTTACTTTAAAAATACAGTGTATAAGACATATAACATTCAAAATATGTTTTAACTATTTATGTTATTGGTAAGGCTTCTGGTCAACTATAGGCTATTAGTAGTTAAGTTTTTGGTGAGTCCAAAGTTATACCCAGGGGCACCTG